AAACAAAGATAAGATAAATGATGAGAGGCCTTCATTTACTAAGTTCTTGTCTTTCCATCAATTTTCCAGGGGCAAGGAAGTGCCAGGCAGAAATAAATCCTTGTAAATAAAAGATATCCTTGAATGAAGTGCAGGTTGCCTTCCTTTAGCAACCACAGCTGGGATTAGCAAGTTGGTTCTTAAGTGAAGCAGCCGCTAAGTGAAAATTATGTGATTGCACCTCTGCTTTCAATTTTACTTCAGCTTTCCTTTATTTTCCTGCTATTCCCTTTATGCAGGGACAATGACAGTTCTTTGGGCTCCAAAATCACTGCAGATGGTGACTGTAACCATGAACTTAAAAGCTTGCTCCTTGGAAGGAAAGCTATGGCAGACCAAAACAGCATATTAAAAAGCAGAGACATCATCTTGCCAAGAAAGGTCCGTATAGTGAAAGTTATTGTTTTCTCAGTAATAATGGATGGCTGTGAGAATTGGACCATAAGGAAGGCTGAGGGCTGAAGAACTGATGCTTTCAAATTGTCATGTTGGAGAAGACTTTTGAGCATCCCTTGGATTGCAAAGAGATCAAATCAGTCAATCCTAAAGGAAATCAACCCTGATGGTTCTTTGGAAGAACTGATACTGAAGCTGAAGCTCAAAAACTTTGGCCACCAAATAAGAAGAGAGAATTCATTGGAAAAGACCCTGATGTTGGGAAAGATTGAAGGCAAAAGGAAAAGGGGACAACAGGATAAGGTGGTGTCATCGACCAAATGAACATGAATTTGGGCAAACTTTGGGAGACAAGGAGCCTGGTGTGCTATGGTCCACAGGGTTGCAAAGAGTCAGACATGACTTAGTGATTGAACAACAATAAAACAACCTATATAGCTCTGGGAGCCCCTAGAGTTGCACATGTAACACCACTGTTGTATGTGCTGCACTGGTTACAAGTTTGCTTCTGGGTCCAATTCAAGGTGTTAGTAATTACAGAACCAGCTTGGTTCCATCAGATCAGCTGATCCCACTCATTCAGGCAGGGAGGTTATGCTGCGGATCCATCAGTCGAAGAATTTCAACTGGCAGGGTCTAGGAAGAAGGCCTTCTCTGTTGCCATCCCTGCATTGTGGGACATCCTACCCTCAGAGGTGAGTCTTTCCACAAAGGGGTCAAAACCTGGCTGTCCAGCCTTGTATGAGGGACACAGAGGTCCACATAACTATGGGGCTGGCTGGCCCCATGAGAACCCCACACACACTTGTATTAACAACTGTTCACCTTTTGAAATTTTATAATGTTATTTTTTATAATTTTAAATCTTTTTAATAATTCTGATTCTAATGATAATTTTATTGATTATATTATACACCACCCAGAGCCACTCTCTGAAGGAGATAGTCAGTTAAGAAATATGAAATATAATAAAAATAAGTACCACCAAGGAAGGAATTGCAAACTTTCATCAAATTGATTAATGAATACGCAAAAATAGCTGAGGCAGCAAAAGTGAACTTGCATCCCTTTCTCAACAAACTCATAATCTGCTGATTGTTCCAGGAGCAACAATCTCTCAGGATATAATATCTACTATTTTATAGCCAATATGTCAAATGTATATTAGTTGATATTGCTGTTTTTATCATCAAATGATGTCTCTGATTCCATAATCACTTATTTAATGTTGTTCTTTTTCTGGGTCAAAGTTGCAAGAAAATTCTATGTGCCTATTGTATTCTTATACATTTGCCTTGTTTACAAGTCTTTTTTTTTTTCTTTACTCTGGTATGATTAAAATTCCAATTGCTATTATTTGGGAAATACATCATTTTACAAAAAAGTGCTCTCCTTAGTCTCAATATTTTTTTAATAAGTAAATATTTCAAACCAATGGCATGTTGGCTGAAACACTAGATCCTCTCTTATGAAGCTTTAAGCAGCTCTCCTTCGTAAACTGCCAAGTATACCTAAGAAACTCTTTCACAATTCCATGTGAAATCTTTACAGCTGCAATATCATTTCAGAGAGAATGTCAGAAAATTATCTATTCAGGCTGTTTTTAGGTTCTTGGACCTCCCTCAACCAGTTCCACCTAATAAAGGGTGCCTAAGATGGAAATTCAGTTCAGATTGATGGATCTCACATTATAATTCAATACATACCCAAAACTACATTAGGTATGAATGAAAAAGGTGCTTCCATTCCATTTTTGTCTTGAAGGAAAATTTAGTCAAGCTTTCCTCCAGATTGGTTTAATTGCAACTTAAAGAATTTTCATTTCCTTTTCTTCACAGCTAAAGTCTCCTTCCTTCCTTCCTTCCTTCCTTCCTTCCTTCCTTCCTTCCTTCCTTCCTTCCTTCTTTCCTTCCTTCAGAAGGATAACATGCATTGGGTGATGAATCTGATAATTTCCATTAAAAATCTTCAAGTCTCCAAAAATATGTTTATATTCCATGTGCCATGTACAATTTTTCTTTTAAAAATAGTACATTTGTTACATTTTCCTACCAGGCCATCAGATACTCATTTCCCTAAAATGCCTTTTTATGTGCATTTTTAATTGAAAATCTAAATCACAAAGTTCAGAAATGTGTCAAATTAAAATTGGTTTTCAGTGATTTGGATGGAAAAGAAAATTAGATAAGCTAGCAAGAAAATGGAAATAAGATAAAACATTTCCCCATTTTCCTTATACCATATCATTGTTTAAGCTTCTTAGCGTAGGCTCCTATTCCACTTCTGAGGTGGATATGGAGACACCCTACCTAGAGCTCCTTAGCTTGTCCAACACCAAAACGCATCTGTTTCAAGATAATTATGAAAGCAAAGTTACCTCAACTTTAAGCCATTTACATAGACTCTAAATTAAATTGATTAGAGGAGATTGTTAAAATTTATGCAGCTTAAAATATATTGTGATATAACTAGTCCTTGTCACACCATCAAGTTTTACAATACCTTAGACTCACTTCAAAATGGGACTCTTTGCATAGAAGATGGTCGGTTTCATTCTTTGTAAAAATTCATGACATTCTTAGTAAAAATGATTAGCAATGAGATGGGTGATTGTTTTGACAGTATACAATAATCATATGCAGTATTATATATTTCACAATCTTGTAAAATAGATATGAGGCCAAGCCCAAAACTAAAAAAAGCCTTGTATGTTTCCACTATCATCCCAATATTTTATCATGTCTAATCAAGCTTCCCTGAACCTCATTTATTTATTTTATTAAATTTATATGCTGCCCATATCACTATCCAAAGTGATTCTGAGTGGCTTACAACACAGTCGTCCATAAGGCTTGCACTTCAACTCCCAGAATTCCTAGCCAGAGTAACGAAGAGATTTAGGAAAATTACTCCTCTTTGATTCCAGTCCAAGCCGCAGAGATTTGGTCAGAGCCATTTATGAGCCTTTCTGATGGTCAAACTAAGATGCATTTCTCCTATTCTTGAATTAGAAAGAGAAAGTATGTTTGCCATTGTCAAGATATGAAGTTAAGTACTCAGCCAAATCCTGCCAGAGGCTAAGATCATGAAAAGCTTCATTATCTAGATTTGGTTCAGAGAGTTTCAATCAGATTTAAAATGAATTGTTGGGTGCCAAATTGGGTGCTTGATTCTATCATCTGGATACTGGACAATGTTGATCTTATTTGAGTCGGTCGCCCAGACCAGATGCTTATTCTTCCAAGCTTTCAGACTCTTTCTGGAGCCCATCCTCAGGGAACTTCTCTCTCTCCAGAATGCATACACTGGGCTGTTTTATATATATAATATTTATGTGGTGCTGGGATGTGTATGGCTTTTAGTTATTAATTGGGCTGTTGATGGCTGGCTATTAAGTTGTTGATTATTGTTTCCTTGTGCTGCTGTAACTTTGGCTCTTAAGTACCTGGTAAGCTGGTGGTAAATCAGCACTCCTGATGACTGACAAGGGACCCATTTCCAAGCTTCTATCATACAACAACAACAATAATAGTAATAGTAATAGGTGCCTTGGGTGCAATCCCAAAGCAATTGGAGCATCACTTGAACTCCATTAACATTGACAAATTTGCCATCAGTCAATTGCAAAAGATGCCCTTACTAGGAACAGCTTCCATCCTGCAACGATATTTGTAACACCATCAAACATCCAGATCTGCCTATCCCAGGTCCTTGATAAGGACTTGATAGGTAGACAAAAATGCCAAATCCAGTCTGAAGATTTGGCCAACTGTGTGATTAATAATAATAATAATAATAATAATTGCACAGACTGACTACAAGCAGTGGCATGGCAAAGTAGCAACAATGGTGCATTGGAAGATCTGCAAAAAATATCATTTGCCTATAAGCAAAAACTGGTGGGATCATAAAATTGAGAAAGTCATAGAAAATGATAAAATTAAACTGTTCTGGGACTTCAGAATTCAAACAGACAAGCACCTGCAACATAACACCTCAGACTTAACAATTGTCAATAAGAAAGACAAAAAAGTCTGGATAGTGGACGTGGCAGTGCCTGGAGACAGCAGAATAGATGAGAAAGAACTGGAGAAGATAACAAAATACAAAGACCTACAAATAGAAATAGAAAGACTGTGGCAAAAGCAAGCAAGGGTAGTACCAATAGTAATAGGCTCCTTTGGTGCAATCCCAAAACAACTGGAGCACCACCTGAACACCATTAGCATTGACAAATTCGCTATTAGTCAATTGCAAAAGGCAGCCTTACTAGGAACTGCTTCCATCCTGCAACGATACCTGTAATACCATCAAACATCCACATCTGCCTATCCCAGTTCCTGGGTAAGGACTCGATAGGTAGACAAAATGCCAAATCCAGTCTGAACATCTGGCTGACTGTGCGATGATCCATAATAATAATAGAGTTGGAATGGACCTTGGAGGTCTTCTTGTCCAATCCCCGGCTGATTTATCTGGCTATTTTTGTTCCTGCTCAGCCAACAATCTTGTAGCTGTGAAATATAATGCATGTCATTCATTGCAATGTGAGGCTACCAATGAGTTCAGGTCTCCTCATCTAACTGCTCACTCATGTTCTTGTAATCTGGTGGCTTGCTTCCTCCCAATCTGTCCTGCATAATCACAGGTGCAATTCATGCAGGGAATGTTGAACTTTTCTGTTTCAGTTGTCATACTGATCATATGTATTACACCCATTCCACAAACCATTCCTGGAAAACCCACTGCAAGAGGTCATTCAGAAAAAGGTATTCCCTAATCTTGCTCTCTCAAGACAGAACCCGGAATCTTCTGTGTACAAAATCACCTCTATGCCAAATATGGAATTTCACTTGCATTTTTTTTCACCAATCCTATTCAACTGGAGTGAAATATGTTCTACATATTTAATTATAACATGGGAAGAAGATGTGTATGAATATTTGTCTTTAATTATTTTTCTGGCAGTCTGTAGTATTTCTGGTTTCCTATATGTCCATTAAATCTCAAAGGATAACATCATGAGAGAGCTCCTGTGGAGCTGTTTCAATAGCAAAGCTCTAGTCAAAATCAAAGGGAAGAGAAGCTTAGGAGAAATAGTTGAAGATTTTGGGTTTTTTGCAGAAACTACATTTTTCATTCAGTTTGGCAAAGAATTTCAAAAGCCCATTTCCATCCAGTTTTAACTGGATCTTCTCTCATCTAGGTTTCTGTGAAGAAATCACTATTGCAAAGAGAATGCTAGAAGAGAGATCAATTTCATCCCGATTCAAGAAACCTCGTGTTCCCAACTTTTCTTCATAGCTTAAGACATAAAAAAGAGATAAACTCGTACCATTGTTGTAGTTTATTGTGGTGCTCAGGTGCTTTTATCATTCTTTTAAGATGCTACCTTCTTCATGAATTGTTTGATGACTTTCTATAATAAATGGTTATGTCTATAAGAAAACAACAAGACAATTGAGGATCGTTTTGATACCAGTATTTAAAGGGCGTACAGAGATAACTGTTCAACAGTATCTATGGAAGTGGGAGAAGGGGGGATGGAGCAAGAGAGCAGAAAGAAAAAAACAGCATTGTGCTATTGTAATACAAGCCCTACATCTTGTGAGCTTGCACTAGGATATCATATGCGCATACAAAAGAGGCACAACCTGAGATGCAATGACACAGCAATTCTTTCATCATCTTAACAAAAGCAGCTAGAACCTGCTGAGGTCCATGTAGAGCTCAAATGCTTTTGTTACCTTATATTGTCTCATTCAGAGACACAAAGAGAATATGAGAATTGTTTTATTATATAATATCTGGAAGAAAAAATATTAAGAAAGAGAGGAGCATTCCCTTGAAACCTAAACTAAATTACAAGTGTCGGGGAAGTCTGCCTTCACATATCAAGTTACATACTGCTATATTTGTTTTATTGTACTACATCATTTTGCTTGACTAAATTTATATATATATATATATATATATATATATATATATATATATATATATATATATATATAAATTTAGTATATATATAGTAAATTAGTATATATATAAATTTAATATATATATAGTAAAACAAATAAATAACGATCACCAGGAGAATAAATGAGAAAAACATTTAATAAAACCTAGCTTTCATCGGAAGCTTCCGACATCGTCAGGGTTAAAAGCAGTCATTGGGAAGAGGCTTATATATGATCACTAGGCGCCTGCATCCGGCTTCTGGACCGCGTCACCGGTCCCAGCTGATTGAATTGCACCTTTGCGTCAGCGCCCAGCCCTTTCCTGTTTCTGTTCCGTGCGCTATTGTTCACTCCTCCATCGCTAATTCTGGGGCTGAGTGGGGTCCTCTCCCATCCCTTCTGGGTGGTAGTTGTTTCCATCCCCCTGCCCCCTTGTGCCCAGTTCTAAGGGTCCTAGGGTACGGGCCATTCGGTTCTCTCCTAATCTCACCGCATGGTCCGATTAATCTCCGGGCAATCCTCCTCACCCCTTGGGATTGCGGCTCAGGCGTTTCCCTTCATTCTATGTTTTCCAACCTCCTGTCCCTTTTTATGTGAGCAGTCCTTGTTTGCTTATCGTTCGACTTAACATCTCTTTCCTTATCTTCACTTGGAGCGTTCTTTATCATCGCCATGTCAATGGTGCTTTGCCATCCAATCCGCTGTTGATGATTGTCATTTCCATTCAGCACATATCCATTGTACTTATTTTTCACGGGAGGATCCTTCTGCCATGGCTGTGGATGTTCTTTATTCATGAGTTTGTGCTTTCATGTCAAATCAGTTGGTAAAGTCTCTCTCTCCCCTTTCTGATGCGATCGGGTTATCATCGCATGTCTGCCAGTTCTACTTGCGGGTAGTCTTCCTTCAACAGTCGGCCCCCTTTTGTGGCGTCACTGGACAAAATTTGTATGTTGCTAAAATCAAACTGATGGTCATGTTTAGCCATATGTATCCAGACCTGCGGGTATTGCTCACCCCTCTTGATCACCAGTTTGTGTTCATGTAGGCGGGTCTTTAATCTTTTTGATGTTTCACCCACATAGTTGCTCTGACAGTTCTTACAGTCAATTCTGTACACCACCACAGATCTCTCCACAGTGGGGAGTGGGTCTTTGGGGCACATAACTTTTGATCACAATGTCTGGCTAGATTTGTGAGCCACCTTTATGTTGTGGGGGGCCAACAGTCTAGCCATTGCTTCGGAAACATTACTAATATATGGTAAAGAGACGCGTGTAGTCTGTACTGGGGGTTTGTCCTTCTGTTGGTTGTCCCGGGGTTCAGGTGTTTTGCTATGTCTTTTTATGAACCTCAACGGGTACCCATTTAATTGGCAAACATGAAATAGGTATCTCCTCTCCTCCACTTTAGACTCAACTGTGCTGCAGTGTGAATGTACTCACATAAACAGTGTCCTGATGCAGCTAACCTTATGGGATACTGGATGATTACTTCCATAGTGGAGGATTCGATCCGTATGGGTGGGCTTGTGATATACCTTTGTGCATAAAGATCCATCTGGTAAACGTTGGACCAGCACGTCTAAGAAGGCCAGCAAGCCCTGGTTCTCCTCTTCCACCGTGAACTTAATATCCAGATATACCAAATTCAATATTCCCATAAAGTTAGCTTTGTGGCTTCGCTTAATGATGACAAATGTGTCGTCCACATACCGAGCCCAGAACTTGGGCTGGTAACGGGTCATAGCCTCGCGCTCTATCTGTTGGAGGACCACCTCCGCTATCACACTGGAGATAGGGGAGCTCATGGGTGTGCCTTTCACTTGCTCAAACGTGACTCCTTGGAAGGTAAAATAAGTTGTTAAACATAGTTCTATGAGTTTCACCAAATCTTCAATCTGCAGAGAGTCTCGGTGTTGGGCCCCTTTCTGTTTTTTCAATTGGTCTCTCAGGACTGCAACTGCTAGGTCCTGAGGGATGGAGGTGAAGAGTGAGGTGACATCGAACGACACCATCATCTCATCCTCCTCCACCCTAAGGGCCTTGATCTTTTCTAGAAACTCTTCTGCAGATTTGACTGTGGTGAAATTGCCATTAGTAGGTAGGAGATATGCTCGCTAAGCCATTTCGCCAGCCCTGAGATGGGCATGCCTCTAAACGAGACAATTGGGTGAAGGGGAATACCTTCCTTGTGAATCTTAGGTAGTCCATAGAACCTGGGGAGTGCCGAGTCATTAGGGCGTATCTTCCTTAAGGTATCATCATCCATTTTCTTACTACGTTTGAAGTTATCGAGCAATTTGTTGATCTTATTCTTGAGTGTCACCATGAGGTCTCTCTTAATGATTTTATAACCTGTTCTATCATCAAGCAACTCCAATGCTTTGGTCACATAAAGCACCCTATCCATTACCACTGTTGCCCTCCCTTTATCTGCTGGTAAAAAGGGACAGGAGGTTGGAAAACATAGAACGAAGGGAAACGCCTGAGCCGCAATCCCAAAGGGTGAGGAGGATTGGCCGGAGATTAATCGGAGCGTGCGGTGAGATTAGGAGAGAACCGAATGGCCCGCACCCCAGGACCCTTAGCAAGGAGAACTGGGCACAAGGGGGCAGGGGGATGGAAACAACTACCACCCAGAAGGGATGGGAGAGGACCCCACTCAGCCCCAGAAGTAGCGATGGAGGAGTGAACAATAGCGCACAGAACAGAAACAGGAAAGGGCTGGGCGCTGACGCAAAGGGTATGCTTAGAATGCAATTTGATCAGCTGGGACTGGTGACGCAGTCCAGAAGCCAGATGCAGACACCTAATGATCATATATAAGCCTCTTCCCAATGACTGCTTATAATCCTGACGATGTCGGAAACTTCTGACGAAAGCTAGGTTTTATTGTTAATAGGATAATATTGGAAGAAGGAATTTTTGTCTACTTTGCAGGAATGGTTTTTTAAAGTTTCTTACTTATCTGAAATGGCAAAAATTTCGGCTTTTTTGAAAGATCAATCGCAAGAGAAGTATCTTTTGGTGTGGAAAAGATGGATAAATTTTATACAATATAAGTATGATATTAGAAAATATTATTTACCCTTTGAATAATTTATATTTAAAGTTTAAGATATTATTTAGAAGTGTAGAATAGTTTTGTTTTTTTCTTTTCATTATTTTTCTTATTTTCTTTTTTTTTCTTCTTTTTCTCTTTCTGTTTTTTATATATAATGGAGTTAAAGTACTTAACAATTCATTTATTGAATGTAATCATATTTGTTTGAGGTTTATTTGAGTTTAAAAGTTTTTTTTTCTTAAGTTCTAGTTAACCCTGTATTCAGCTCTGGGAAGAATGGGAGAGGGTTTTGGGGAGGGTTGGGAGGGATTGGGAAAGGGGTTTTTATTATAAAATTGTAAAAATTTATAATAAAAAAAAGAAAGCTAGGTTTTATTAAATGTTTTTCTCCTTTATTCTCCTGGTGTACATTATTTATTTGTTTTACAATATGAATATACCCAGGAGTCGAATTTTTACCCACATTTCTAACTATATATATATATATATATATATATGTTTTCTGAGGTTTTCGCGGGTATTTGTATGTAGGTCTTTGGTTGTTCGGGTTTTCTCCCACGTAAAATTGGAAGTGTCTTGGCGACGTTTCGACGAAGTCCCATTCGTCATCTTCAGGCTGGTGCTTTCAGCTTCGTGCCTCGAGCAGCAGGGTGTGGTCTTGGCTGTTTCTTCCTTTTAACTGCCAGTGGAGGTATGAACTGATTGGGTGGGAGCTTGGCTGTGTTCTGATTGGGTGGAGGTGTGTTCTGATTGGTTAGGGGCTTGGCTGTGCTCTGATTGGCTGGGGGTTTGGCTGTGCTCTGATTGGCTGGGGGGTTGGCTGTGCTCTGATTGGCTGGGGGAGTGTTCTGTTTGGTTGTGCTCAGGTTAGTCTGAGTTGCAGAGGGATTCAAGATTTTGGGCTGCCCTGCCATTCCTTGGCTTCGTGTTCGTGGTCGTGCTTCCTCTTCATGGAGGGTGTCAGTTTGCTTCATGTATGGATTGGGGGGGTTTAAAGTGGCTAATGATGCAGCTGTGGTCTGGCTTCTGGTTTGTGGTCGTGCCTCATAGTCAGTGTGGCTTTGGGTTTGTTTTTTGCGTGGATGTTTGGTGGTGACATCCTGTGTGGTTTTTGTGAGTGTGGGTCTGGTATCATTTTTTGTGTTAGGGAGTCGTTTGTCAATAAGGGCGGGTTTCCAAATGGCTGGTAGGCGGGAGGTATCATCTCGCTTGTTCATGCTGTGTGGGCGTTTTTCTATCTCAATGGCTTCTCTGATTATTCTGTTATTAAAATGTTCACTTTTGGCAATGGTTCTGGTATTTTTAAAGTCAATTTCATGTCCTGTAGCTTTAAGGTGTTGGACCAGGGAAGATGTTGGTTCCTCTTTTTTGACTGAGTTCTTATGTTCTTCAATGCGTGCACTTATTCTTCTGTTGGTTTGTCCGATGTATGTGGTGGGACAAGTGGTGCATGGGATTTCGTATACTCCTTGATTTTCTAATTCAATTTTATCTTTGGGGTTTCTAAGGATGGTGGATATTTTTCTGTTTGTGCAGAATGCTGTTTTGATGTTGTGTTTATGGAGGATCTTACTGATTCTGTCTGTGATGCCTTTTATGTATGGGAGGATGGCTTTGCCGTTTTCTTGTTCTTTGTCTTGGATTTTAGTGGGGGTTTCTTTTTGGATTAGGTTTGTAATCTTATTTCTATGGAATCCATTGGATGTTAGTACATTGGTGAGAGTGTGTAGTTCGGGTTTTAGGTGTTGTTCGTCAGCTAAGCGTTTTGTTCTGGAGATGAGTGTCTTGGCTACAGAGTTGATCTGTGCTGGGTGGTGGTGTGAGAGAGCGTGCAGATAGCGGTTTGTGTGTGTTTTCTTCTGGTAGATGGTGTGTCCTAGGGAGCCATTGGATTTCTTGTAGACTAAGACATCCAGGAAGGGAAGTTGGTTGTTAGCTTCTGTTTCCATGGTGAACTGTATTTTGGGGTGTAGGCTGTTGAGGTGTGTGAGGAAGTTGTCCAGTTTTTCTTTCCCATGTGGCCAGATTATGAAGGTGTCGTCTACGTATCTGAGCCAGAGTTTGGGTTTGTGATCCATTTTTTCTAGAGCTTGGGTTTCAAAGTGTTCCATGTAGAGGTTGGCAATGACAGGTGAGAGGGGTGATCCCATGGGTGCTCCTTCTGTTTGTTTGTATTTTTGTCCATTATAGATGAAGTATGTGTTGGATAGGCAGTGGTTGGTCAGATCTAAGATGTGTTTGGGGGGTTATATTTGTTTTGGATAGCTGTCAAGGCTTCTTTGATAGGCACTTGGGTGAAGAGGGATATGACATCGAAGCTCACTAGTAGGTCGCTGGGCTGTAAGTTTTGTTTCTTTATGATCTCTATAAACTGGAATGAGTTTTTTACGTGTGAGGTGATGGATTCTGCATAGGGCTGTAGTTGTTTGGCGAGAAATTTGGCTAGGTTTTGTAGAGGTGAGCCTATGGAGCTGACTATAGGTCTGAGTGGGGTTCCTTCTTTGTGTATCTTGGGGAGACCATAGAGTTTGGGGCATCTGGATGATTTCTCTCTGGGAATGATTCTTTGCTGGATCTCTTCGCTAATGGGGGAGGCTTTTATTTTGGATCTGGTGGTTTTTTCCAGGTAGGTGGTGGGATCTGTATTTAGGGGTTTGTATGTGGAGTCTTGGAGTAGGTTGGTTAATTTGGTTTGGTAGTCAGATGTGTTCATAACCACCGTGGCGTTGCCCTTGTCTGCTGGTAGGATTATTATGCTGGTGTCTTCTTTAAGGTTACGTAGTGCTGTCTGTTCCTCTTTGGGTAAGTTGCTTTTGGGTGGCTTGCTGGTGCAGAGGATGTTGGTGATTTCGAGTCTGATTCTGTTGGCGTCGTCGGGGTTGATTTTAGTCAGGCTGGTTTCAACTCCACATATAATGGTTTCAGTGGGGATGTGTTTGGGAGCGACTGCAAAGTTGAATCCTTTGGAAAGGACATTGGTTTCGGCTTTGGTGAGGATCCTATCTGAGATGTTATGCACTGTTTGTTTCATGTGTGGCTGTGAGGGAGGAGGGGTTTGTTTCTGGCGTTCTTGTAGTCTTCGGAGTTTGTTGGTGTGTGTATCTGTCTTGAGGGTGGTCTGTGTTTCGGCTCTCCAGACGGCAAGTTGTTTGGATTTGTCCCAAAGTGCGGGGTGGATCTTGTTGCTGAGTTTGAGGTGGAGTGTGAGGAGATCTTTGTTAATTCAGTCTAGGAGGAATCTTTTTGTGTGAAGTTCATTTCTGATTAGGGCCAATTCTGTTCTTTTCAGGATCCGTTTGGTGGCTGCAGAGTTGGAGTGGAATTTCAGTTGGAAACATGTGGGGATTAGATTTTGATCTCGGCAGTTGCGTAGGAATGCGAGGTCGCATAAAATGGAAGCTCTTTGGACTTCAAGTTTTTCATAGGTCCTGGTCAGATGGTGGATTTCCTCCCCATAGAGGTTCAATATTTGTTTTCTGAGGTTTTCGCGGGTATTTGTATGTAGGTCTTTGGTTGTTCGGGTTTTCTCCCACGTAAAATTGGAAGTGTCTTGGCGACGTTTCGACGAAGTCCCATTCGTCATCTTCAGGCTGGTGCTTTCAGCTTCGTGCCTCGAGCAGCAGTGTGTGGTCTTGGCTGTTTCTTCCTTTTAACTGCCAGTGGAGGTATGAACTGATTGGATGAGAGCTTGGCTGTGCTCTGATTGGTTGGGGGAGTATTCTGTTTGGGTGAGGGCTTTGTTGTGCTCAGGTTAATCTGAGTTGCAGGGGGATGTGAGATGGTGAGCATTGTTATTGTTTGGCTTCGCGTTCGTGGTCGTGCCTCATCTTCATGGTGAGTGTCAGTTTGCTTCATGTATGGATTGGAGGGGTTTAAAGTGGCTAATGATGCAGCTGTAGTCTGGCTTCTGGTTTGTGGTCATGCCTCATCATCGGTGTGGGTTTGGGTTTGCTTTTGGCGTGGACATGTGGTGGTGATATCCTGTGTGGCTTTTGTGAGTGTGGGTCTGGTGTCATTCTTTGTGTTAGGGACTCGTTTGTCAATAAGGGCGCGTTTCCAAATGGCTGGTAGGCGAGAGGTATCATCTCATTTGTTCATGCTGTGTGGGTGTTTTTCTATCTCGATGGCTTCTCTGATTATTCTGTTATTAAAGTGTTCAGTTTTGGCGATAGTTCTGGTCTTTTTAAAGTCGATTTCATGTCCTGTGATTTTAAGGTGTTTGACCAGGGAAGAAGTTGGTTCCTCTTTTTTGACTGACTTCTTATGTTCTTCAATGCGTGCACTTATTCTTCTGTTGGTTTGTCCAATGTATTTGGTGGGACAAGCAGTGCATGGGATTTCGTGTACTCCTTGAATTTCTAACTCTATTTTGTCTTTGGGGTTTCTTAGGATGGTGGATATTTTTTGTTTGTGCAGAATGCTGTCTTAATGTTGTGTTTGTGGAGGATCTTGCTGATTCTGTCTGTGGTGCCTTTTATGTAAGGGAGGAGGGCTTTGCTGTTTTCTTGTTCTCTGTCTTAGATTTTAGTGGGGGTTTCTTTTTGGATTAGTTTGGTAATCTTGTTTCTTTGGAATCCATTGGATGTAAGTACATTAGTGAGAGTGTGTAGTTCGGGTTTTAGGTGTTATTCATCAGCTAAGCGTTTTGTTCTAGAGATGAGTGTCTTGGCTGGGTGGTGGTGTGAGAGAGCGTGCAGATAGAGGTTTGTGTGTGTTTTCTTCTGGTAGATGGTGTGTCCGAGGGAGCCATTGGATTTCTTGTAGACTAAGACATCCAGGAAGGGAAGTTGGTTGTTAGCTTCTGTTTCCATGGTGAACTGTATTTTGGGGTGTAGGCTGTTGAGGTGTGTGAGGAAGTTGTCCAGTTTTTCTTTCCCATGTGGTCAGATTATGACGGTGTCGTCTACGTATCTGAGCCAGAGTTTGGGTTTGTGATCAGATTTTTCTAGAGCTTGGGTTTCAAAGTGTTCCATGTAGAGGTTTGCAATGACACCAGACCCACACTCACAAAAGCCACACAGGATGTCACCACCACATGTCCACGCAAAAAGCAAACCCAAACCCACACCGATGATGAGGCATGACCACAAACCAGAAGCCAGACTACAGCTGCATCATTAGCCACTTTAAACCCCTCCAATCCATACATGAAGCAAACTGACACCCACCATGAAGATGAGGCACGACCACGAACGCGAAGCCAAACAATAGCAATGCAGCTCACCATCTCACATCCCCCTGCAACTCAGACTAACCTGAGCACAACAAAGCCCCCACCCAAACAGAACACTCCCCCAACCAATCAGAGCACAGCCAACCCCCCATCCAATCAGAGCACAGCCAAGCTCCTAACCAATCAGAACACACCTCCATCCAATCAGAACACAGCCAAGCTCTCATCCAATCAGTTCATACCCCCACTGGCAGTTAAAAGGAAGAAACAACTACGATCACACATTGCTCCTAGAAGCACGAAGCCGAAAACACCAGCCTGAAGATGACGAATGAGACTTCGTCGAAACGTCGCCAAGACACTTCCAATTTGATGCGGGAGAAAACCCGAATAACCAAAGACCTACATACAAACACCCGCGAAAACCTCAGAAAATATATATATATAATTTCTCCTTAGTTCTAGGCAGTGCTTTTTTTCTAAAAAAAAGAAATAGGTGCCGGAACTCACACATATCATTCAACCCGCCTTGCCTACCCTACAAGGTTCCATCGAAAAAAGGTGCTGGAACTCCATTCTGGGCATTCTATGAGAAAAAAAGCCCTGGTTCTAGGTTGCTTCTTTTCTTGATTAGTTTCTATCCATTGCTTCTTGTCTTGCCTTCTGGTGCTCTTCTGTGTGGCAGCCCCTCAAATATTGGAAGACTGCTATTATGTCACCCTAGTCCTTCTTTTCACAAGACTAAGCAAACCCAAATCCTGCAACCATTCTTCATATGATTTAGCCTCCAGGTCTCTGATCATTTTTGATGTTCTTTCTGCACCCTTTCCAGAGTCTCAATGTATTTTTCATAACAGTGACCAAAACTGTTTGGGGGGTTCTTGGTGCTCTCTGAACTTGCTTGTTTTCTTGCAGGCATTTGGACACTGTTATTACAGATTGACCATAAGTTTGAAAAGCGAATTGAATAAAAAAATTATTAACCGTAAATATAACAACTTAAGGATTGGAATGAAATGGCGAAAAATTGAGATTTTCAAAATGTCAGTTATAAATTGATTAAGGGTCCAGATAAATTTGGAATATGAAGACTTTTATTTTAAGATTTTGGAAATAGTAAAATCACTTATCATAGGAACCAAATTGTTTTGTCCATCTTAAGACATAACAGAGATCTGAGAATTTACAATTTCAGAAAGTAGACACTAGAGGAGACTAAAGGTTCCAGGGGGGGAAATGGGGGGGAGTATACACTTGACTTTGGGTTTTGGTTAATTTAAGAGTTTATAACATGAAATGCTATAATATTTGAAATACTTTGGGAGATTTTTGAAGTATGGGGCCAGCAATGTCAACATTGATGTTTACTTCCATGGAAAGATACTAATGGATGTGATGGTAAAGAAGCTGTGCTTGTTAGCTGGAAAGCTGACAGACCAGTTTCAAGACCTGAGCACTATGCAATCAGGTGAGCTCCCATTCCTTGCCCAAGCTCCTACCCACCTAGCAGTTCAAAAGCATGCAAATATGAATAGATTAATAGGTACCACTTCAGTGGGAAGGTAACAGTGTTCCATGTGCTTTTGGCATATAGCTATACTGGCTACATGACCATAGAAAATGTCTATGGACAATGCTGGCTCCCTTGGCCAAGAAACAGAAATGAGCATTGTATACTAGAGTTGTACATATGTCAATGCTACAAATACTGTATATTCTTGCTTTGACAATATGCAAAACTGTCTGGCATTTATTGGGTTAATACTTAGCTTAGACTGGGGGGGGGGGACGCCCGGGAAAGAAAGAGGAAGCAAACTTTTGACCTTCTCACTAATTGGATAATGTGACCTGTGACTGCATGAGAAGTGAGGGGTTTAGCAAGGAAAGCTTGATGCCAGCGAAAGGAAGTTCAGATTCTGGCATCAACCAGTCCATCATGGCGACCGGCAAAACTGTAGCTCTGCAATAAAGATTTTA